GAGATATTGTTAAATTACGAGAGCTACAACACAATYAGTGGATTAATCCATTTGCTAGATTAATAATTTGAATGAATTAATGGGTGGTAATTGTAGGCAGGAAGGGCATGACTGGAGGAAAGAAGTAGGTCACTGGGGCATTTTGTCCCTGATGAACAGAGCTCTCTGCTTACTAGCTGTCATGTCCTGAGCTATCTTCCTCTGCCACTCACTTCTATCATGTTTTCTGCTTCATCTTGGGCCCAAAGCAATGGAGTCAGCCAATTATGAACTGAACCTCTGAAACCACGAGCTAAAATAAAATTTTCCTTTTCTAAATTGTTCTTGTCAAGTCTTTTGGTCATAGCAATGCAAAGCTAACTAAAACACCATTGAATATGAGTGGAAGTGATACATACCATTTGGGGGTTCAGGCACTAAAGAAGAGAGTAACTCTTTCGTACTTTTTTCCTGACTAGATGCAGATAATGACTCAACTTTAGGGGATGAGTGGAGCCATTAAAATGGAATGGAAGGAGACTGGATTCCTAAATGACTCTGTAGGGGAGAATCTCCCAGCTGATGAAGACCTGCATTTGATTGTTGGTCAGTGGGTGGGAAATACAATTCTATGTGGTATTGGTTTCAGTGTATTTGTTATAGCAACAAAGTGTGCCCTTATAAACTCAGAATGAAGGCATTAGTGACTAAAAACGAGTTGGAAGGGAATACAAGACGACTCATTCCTTCAACATTATTGAGTACCTAGTTCACGCTCAGTCTGCGTTTATGAAAGTGACTAGTTTTTCTTTTCTTTCTTTTTGTTTTTGGAAGTTCTTAAGGAAGGTATGTTCAGAAAAATATGGAACTCTTCATGAGTTTGCATGTCATTCTTGCACAGGAGCTATGCTAATCTCTCTCATTCCAATGTTAGAATACTTGTTGTCTGCTTCAGTCAGCTTTTTCAATGTTGTGACCAAAATACCTGACAAGAACAATTGGAGGAGGAAAAGTTTATTTCAAGGCTCATGGTTTCAGAGGTCTCAGTCCATAGAAAGTTGGTTCCATTCCTCATGGCTCCAGGTTAGGCAGCACATCACAGCAGAAGAGTGTGTGATAGCACAGGACATCACACCAGGAGAGAGAGAGAGAGAGAGAGAGAGAGAGAGAGAGAGAGAGAGAGAGAAATACTCCACTCTTGAGGGACAAAATACATATCTTAAGCCCACACCCACAATGACCCACGTCCTCTAGCCACACCCTGCCTGCCTATAGTTACCACCTAGTTAATCCCTATCAGGGGATTAATGCATTGATTAGGTTAAGAGTCTCATAACCCAATCATTTTACATCWACGTTCTCTTGCATTGTCTCACATACAAGCTTTTGTGGGACACCTAATAGTTAACCCATAACACTGTCAAAGTGAGCACAGTGACTAGGGTTTAGCTTACCATCTAGCAGAAGAGACAAAAGACTTAATAAAAACTGAAATTGGCAAAGCTACAGGGACTTTTAGGAAACATAAAAGAGATTAATATATTTTTTTCTGGAGATTCTTGCTTTTTTCAGAAAATTTCCTATAGGCTGTAGTACATGAGTGAGAAGCACATTTCATATGGAGGTCCCTAAAGACAGTGTCAAAGTGGCTGGAGAGATACCAATGTTTCAGGTGGCTCAGACTTAAGGCACAGAGGGTCCACTTGGCACATGAGGCTTGGCTAAGGATTAGCAATGAACAAAAGGGCAACCCAAAATTCTGTGCACTTAGAAAGGGAAAAGTACTTCTGTAAGTAGCATTTGGGCCAAAGAGAGACACAGCATTGGATTATAGACCCTTTATAAGTGAATGACCATGAGAGTACTGAATAGAAAACATATGTATAATAGACATAGCAATGCTTAAGTAACATTTTCATCCTCATATGCACTTGCTAGAAACTAAATGGGAAATCAATGAGCAAAGGATTCTCTCAAGATGCTGAAAGCTTGAACATAAAGAAGATAAAATAAATAAAACAAAAATCAGAATAAAGGAATCAGTAATGACAAAAGTAGAAACTATTTGTATTTATATAGAAAATATACAAACAAAACAACAGTAGCTGGGCACAGTGGCGCATGTCTGTGATCCCAGGGACTCAAGAGGCAGAGACAAGAGGATGGAGAGTTCAAAGCCAGTCTCAGCAATGGCCAGGCACTAAGCAACTCATTGAGACCCTGTCTCTAAATAAAATACAAAATAGGGCTGGGGATGTGGCTCAGTGGTCAAGTGCCCCTGAGTTCAACCCCCAGTTRCCCCTGCCCACACACAAAAAAACAAACAGTAAAATTGATTAAGAAATCTCAAACCCAGTTCTTTAAAAAGACCAATAAAATAGATAATCACTTGGTAACTGATCAAGGATAACAGAAAATACACAAATAAACAACTTCAGGAATGAGGAAGGGACTTAATTTTAGATATAAGGAAGGCTGAAAAATATATGAGTTATATATAAGACATCAATGCATTTTAAAAATATAGAGGAAAAGGAATATTTTCAGATAACATAAATTTTCAAAATTGGCTTAGGAAGACAGAAAAAACCTGAATATGTGGATAAYAACAGAAAAATATTATTAAGTGTAGAAGAACTTTCTCCTTACAAGAACACCAAATCAGCTAGTTTTTTAAAAATATATGCCTGTTTTGGCTGGTGGATTACCATGKATTACTAAATAAGGGGATGACACCCAGCATCTTGGGAGACTGAGGCAGGAGGATCACGAGTTCAAAGCCAACCTCAGCAAAAGTGAGGTGCTAAGCAACTCAGTGAGACCTTGTCTCTAAATTAAAATACAAAGTAAAGCTGGAGATGAGGCTCAGTGGTTGAGTGCCTCTGAGTTCAATCACCAGTACCAAAATAAATAAATAAGGGATGACAGACAGGCTCTGTTGGCTGTTAGGGAATATGTGTGAGGGATGTGGAGTCAGGACACTGACAGAGGGGGCTGGGAGAATAATGATCTTATAATGCATGTATTCAGAAWGTTCTTTGACTTACAACAGCTGGACTTTTGACTTTTCAACTTTATGGTGGTATAAAAGTGATATACATCCAATAGAAATTGTACTTCAAATTTTTATTTTTCATCTTTTCCCTGGGTGAGTGGTACAATCCTTTGTCATAATGCTGGGCAGTTGCAGGTACCACCACAGCTTCCAATGCATGATCATGATGGGGAACAACTGAGACTATAGTGTGCTGTATTGCTCAATTATGATGGGTAGGATAGGTATGGTAGATGCATTTTCCACCTATAATGGGTTTACTAGGATGTAACCCCATACCCTGTCAAGGAGAATCTGTACTCTGTGCCAGACACTGTCTTAAACTTTTTATGTGGACTAATTTATTTGATCCTCAAGACATCTTTATGAAGTATCTTTATTTTCCTCAGTGAGGTCCTTATGTTGCAGAGAGATAAAATMATTTAGTTACTCTTCTCAGCTTCACTAATATGAAGTTTAAACCCTGAACCCTGTTTCTAAGGCCCACTCTGAAACACTGAGTTATCCTGATTCTGAGAGTTAGAGGAGGGACAGATAAGCTGAACCATCATAGCAGAGGGAGTGGTGATGGATGAAGGATTCTGGGGCATAGGTCATGGAAGCAGAGAGTGTGGACAGAATTCATCGTAATGAACATAGACTCAGGCCCAGGGTGCTCATCAGGATTTGTGTAGAGCCACACACCCATTAGCAAGTACATACATGACAAAATGCCCTATACAGAACATAAAATTCAATAAAATGACAAGAAACCAATTAACAAATAAACAAACTCACCAAAGAATGCTCACTATAGATACAAAAATATATACAGCATCATTGGTCAAAAAGAGAAATGTAAATTAAAACCACAATTATGTACTACTACACACAGTTCAGAATGGCTACCATTTAAAAGATGGGAAAAACCAAGAGTTGGGGAACATGTGTGTGGAGCAACTAGAATCGTTAAACATTTCTGGTGTTTGGCAATTTCTTCTTCAGTCAAATATACATTTACCATACAATACTATTCCAGACATTTATCTTTCCAAAATGAAGACTCACATATGTATTGGAATGTTTACAGAAGCCTCCTTCATGATAGCCAAAGCCTGAAAACAACCCAACTGTAGACACACATTGCTCAGCAGTAGGCAGGGAGAAGACTAATACACTCCTGATCTATGCAAAGCCCATGCCAAGGGAAAGAAGCCACACACAGGAGTTCTGTACATGATGATTCCACTTATAGAGAATTCTGGGAAAGGTCAAAAAATAAAAGGGAAAGCAAACAAATCAAGTGTTTCCAAAGGGGTGGGCCTGAGGGGATTTGGGGGTGATAGAAATATTGTCTTGGTGGTGATGACTGTTATATCACCACATACATTTGACAAAGATCATCAAACTTTGTACTTAAAAACAGATTTTTTTTTTTCTACCAGGGATTGAACCCAGGGACACCTAACCACTGAGCCACATCCCCACTCCTTTTTATTTTCAATTTTGAGACAGGGTCTCACTAAGTTGCCTAGGGCCTTGTTAAGTTGCTGAGTCTGGCTTTGAACTTGGGTTATTCCTGGCTCAGCCTCCCAAGCCTCTAGTATTACAGGTGTGTGCCACTGCACCCAGCAARAGTGGATATTATTGTGTGGACATTATACCTTAAGCTTTTTTTTTTTTTAATGAAGAGCAAAAGATGAAGTTGAAAATACTCAGATGCCAACAGCTGCCTAGAGAGACTGCAGCCACATCTTTCCCTTTGGGGACAGAGCACTAAGGAACCCATTCTCCAGCTCTCTCTATGGTACTTCAGGCAGAAGACAAGGCTCTGGGGAGCTGGGGACTCCTATTAGCCACTACAGACGAGCAATTCATTCCTTGAAAACTTCTGTGTCCACTCCTACAAAACAGATAAGATGCCACTTGATCCCAAAGGATTCGATGAGAAATCCTATTATTCAAATGAGATTTTATTTTGTTATAGGGCCAAGAAGATCTGGTTCCCAGAGGGGAAAACTCTGTTCTCTGTCCAAGAGAGCCAGAACTCCTGAATTCCAGTGTCCTGGACCTCAGGCTACTTCTTCTGAGTGTGGGAGAATAAATATCATGAAAGCAAGGTATCTGGTCAAAATCCAATTTTCTTTCTCARCCCAAATGTCACTTGGAGACTATTATGGTTTGGATATAAGATGATCCCCAATAGCTCCCATTTTAATGCAGAAGGTGAAATGAYTAGATTATGAGATCTGTGACCTAATCAGTGGATTAATAATTTGAACTGATTACTGTGTGGTAAATGTAGGCAGGTGGAATATGGCTGGAGGTAGTGGGAGTACCTTGGGATTATATATTTAGTCCTTTGCTCCTCCCACCCTGACTCTGCTTCCCAGTTGCCTTGAGCTGAATAGCTATTCTCTACTATACCCKTCTTCCAGGATACTCTGTCTCATTCAGACCTAGAGCATTGAAGTTGGCCAACCACGAAATGAACCTCTGAAACCGTGAGCCCTAAATAAACTTTTTCTTCTCTAAGTTTTTGTCAGGCATTTTTGTCACAGCAACAAAAATCTGACTAATACAGAGACTGTCACTATTGGAAACCACTTCCCATTTTATTTGTTTAGGGTTAAGTGCCATTGCCATCTTCTAAGAGGCAGATCCCTTGAGAGTAGAACTTGTGGGTCCTCTGCAGGTTCTGAGTCCCAGGGCTGGGTCCATCATGGGTTCTCAATACCCAATAATGATTCTATTATCCAGAGGCCAGTGAAACCTAGAGCCACACCCTGCAGGCAGGCTCAGGCTCACTTTCCTGGTATTCTGTGTTGGAGAGGCCCCTGGGACAGCTCYTGGCCTCTTGAGCTCCTGGGGGTGAGGCAGACACTTTCATATTCCTATGAACCAGTGCTGACTTCCTCCTTGCCCACAGGACTTCCATTCTGCTCAGGGTCAGGTGTCAATATGCCCAGCACCAGGGATGGGCCTGCCTCACCTCATTCCACYTGCATTCATCTGCTAGACCTGGTTTCTGGAGCTTGTGGCAATATCYGGCAGCCATGAGAGTAAAGTCAAGAGAATTAGAAGAGCTAACCCAGAGTCCCATATCAGAATGAGAATCATTGCCTCTGGACTATTGATCATACAAGGTAATAAAACCTATTGATGAACTCAGTTTAGTCAGGTATCCGGTACAGCCTATGGCCCTAACCGACACAGTGGTGTTAACCAATCTTCCCTGGACTGTAAGGAAGAGGAGCTCTAAAGAGGTCAAGGAGGGCACACAAAGTAGTGACCGTGGATGGGTGGGGTTGGGATCAGGAAAGTARGTGAATTAGGAGCCTGCAAGGGGAAGCTTCCTGCAAGGTGGTAGAAGCCCTGTGCTATGCTGAAAAAAGGTTAACAACTAGGTCTCCATGGAAAATGCCTGATTGGTGGCCTTTTCTGTTTTCTCTGTTATAAGCACTCTAAACTGACATCATGCAGGGAGGAGCTGAGCACAGACAATAYAAGCTTCCCTCCTCATCTATAGCCTTAACCCCAAGATCTGTGCATAAGATCATTCTGAGCCATCTCCCTTCTCCCAGCTTGAGGCTCTCTTGCTGTCTGACTGCCTCCATACCAAGGATTTACTTGACTTGATCTTCCCAACCCAACTGGACAACCTTGCTTAATTCCAAGAGGCTAAAGTTCACAAGGTAACTTGATGCAGTGGTGTGAGCTGTGTCAGAAAGGACTGAAAGGAAGTATCTGTTCTACCTGCTGACTTAGTTTAGCATTGACTGTTCAACTAAACCCAGCCTATGCTGCCCCTCATGGGTTTCCTGAGTGGGTGAACCACACTTGTGACATTTACAGCCATTTTGAAAATGTACAGGACAGCTGATTTTCTGATAGCAGCATTACTCTATAGGAGTAATGGTTTTTTGTTTTGTTTTGTTTTGTTTTTTTGTAGTTGTAGATGGACAGAATGCCTTTATTTTATTGGTTTATTTTTATGTGGTGCTGAGGATCGAACCCAATGCCTCACGCAAGCTAGACAAGAGCTTTGCCACTGAGCTACAGCCCCAGCCCAGGAGTAATGGTTTTAAATGAGAAAAAGCACGATGCCTATCCATAAACCCATCTAATTCCCAAATGCCACTAAAGTTCTCTCTAGATACAACAATGCACCAAATATTTCCACAATATAAAACCTTTAAAACATCAACTACCTAATTATTTGATCCTTAAAGAACTCAAGAGTAGATATATCTGTGTATCTATGTAATGATCTTGTTCATTGCAAATATTGCAGATGCTGTGGCACCTGCTGGTCCTCACCAAAGCTCAGGGCTGGCTGCTAACAGGTCATAGCTGGGCTCTTATTCTGGAACTTGCTCCCTGATCCACAAAGTAGCCTTACAGAGAAATATGTGGGTGGTTAGGTCTTCTGTGGTTGGCAGAGAAAATACAGTATGTCATGCATTATTTGAGATATATATTAAAAAGTTACTTGTTGCATATCTGAAGTTTTCATTTAACTGGGTATCTTGAAAATGTTATGTGCTACATCTGGCAGCTCTAGCCTCTCCCCAGGGACCCCCAATGACTGATGGATGTAGGAGTACAAAAGATGGCCCTGCTCCAGAGAGACTCATATATAATAGGTRTATGAATCCTCATCTTATGCTCTGCTTTTAGAACCTAGAACAGTCAGTACCATAATGACCCTAGGTGTCAGCCACTGGAGGTGGAACTTTTTTCAGCTGACGACAATGAGGATCACTGGTGGTGAGAGGAGTGCTGATAGTTCCTGGCATGAGGCAGCAGTTGATCATGAAGACCTCACCTGGGGGGAGCTGGGATATGTGGTGCACAGTTGATCTCTGTATCCATGGGTTCTGTGTCCATGGATTCCACCAAACATGTAACAAAAATATTCAGGAGAAATGTGTTTGTACTAAACATGTATATACGTTCTCTTTTCATTATTCCTTACACAGTACAGTGTAACAACTATTTCCATAGCATTTATATTGTGTTGATGTTAAAAGTGACCTATGGATGACTTAAAGTACCCATTAATGTGTGACTTTATGTGACAAAAGGGACTTACTGTCAGACGTGGTTTAATTAAGAACCTAGAATCAAGAGATTATGCTTGATTATTTGGGTGATGCAAATAAGATAGAAGAGGGAGGTAGGAAGGTCAGAGAAGCAGTGATGATGGAATCAGAGGTAAGAAGAATACAATACTGCCTTTGAAGATAGAGGAAGGGCCCATGAGWCAAGGAATTCCATCAACCTCTAGAAGTTGGAAAAGGACAGGAAATAGGTTCTTCTCTGGATCCCCCAGAAGGAACCAGTCCTGCTGACACCAACAGATAATTTTCAGTGTCATGGGATTAGGGAAGGAAGCATCCTTCTACCCTGCCCCAGCACCTCAAGAGGCCCTTAGAGCTCTCAGACTTGCTGCTTAGTAAAAGGCTCTAGCTGTTGGGATGGTCCAGAGCAGTGGCAGTGAACCTGTGTGTTGTGGGGGCCATGGAGCCATGCACATGGCTTCAAAATTGAGAGGTCTGGCTCCATCCCAGTCTGTATTTTCCGTGTGATCTTAGCATGACATTAGTCAACCTTCATTCCATCATCACAGAACCGGGGGAGATGTTCACCTCTTAGAGTAGTTGTGCACAGAGATGAGCTGTGAGAAATCCCCAGGGAGTGGGTCAAGGCACCTGCTGGACCACAAACACCAGAGCTGTAGCCTTTGGTCACTTGAGTGCCCACAYCTCAAGTATGTTCAACTCTCCCTCTAACTCAGGTCATCTTCTGTCCCACAGTTAACCACTCTATCAGGAATGTTTCCTTCCTTTCCTTAGCAGCTGATGGAGGAAAACATTGTTTCAATTAGTGACCTGCCAGGGGCCCAGAGAGGCTGAGTGGCAGCCCCTGGACCCCTAATGCTTGTCTGTCTACTGAGGCCCAGCACTTACCTCCCCCAGGGACAGACTCAGGTGCATATGCATATGGGGAGTGCACAGACCTTGTCTGGGGTGCAGAGGGCTCTATCAGCAAGGCCTGGGATGTAGCAACAGTAGCAGGAGCTACAGGTAACTAGGAGCTTGAATACCTGGTGGCCTATGGAGATAGAAACAGGAATTGGGAATTCAATGGGTTTGGAGAGACTGGAAAATTTCCCAATGGTCCTGCACCTACTAACAGTTCCTTACTACATTGGCTCTGGCCAATTCTCACTTGTGCCTGAGGCTTCACTGTCATGGGATCCCATAAACATGTACCCCACAGGCACACACGTGCACCTCTGAGTCTCAGGGACACTCCTGGAGCCCAGTGAAGATGAAGCAGAAGTAGCAGCCAAGCTGGCCTCTAGTCCTACTATGGAAGGGCCTCAGCCACTCTGGACTTTCAAGCAGAGTTGACACTGTTTGCAGTTCTATGAGAAGGAGTGGTAGGAATTTTAAATCTACATAAAAGCTAAAGATGAATCTAAGAAAAACTCATCTTCATTCTAGTGGACAAGGCCCAGGCCTGTATGAAGGAAGGAACCTGGTAGCCTACCAGTGTCTGAAGAGGGATGCAGGTGTGTTGTTGCCTGCTTGTTCCCAATAGGCTAAGTGTTCTATTTAGATGACATTCTCAAGTCTGCTAGACTTGGGTCCTGAAAAGATCAAAGTTTGTATCAGGCTCTTGCAGTAGAAATGAGACAGAGGAAGACAGACAGAAATAGAGAGACACARAGAGAGAGATAGGCAGAAAGAAATCAACTTTCTTTTTCTAAAGCATCCCATCTATGGTATTGGCATGGCAGCCCAGCTGATCAATATACCTGAATAGTACCTCTTCAGTTTCCTTCTTCAAAAGTGCCATGCTAACAAACATACTTGCTGTGAACTCCTCATCACCCCACCAGGTGATCTGTGGAAAATGTGGGTCACCCAGTTGTTTTTCTGGACCAGCAGAAGGACCACAGTGAAGGGAGAGGAAAATATGGACCAAAAAGTCCTCAAGGCCTAACATTCAGGTCACCTGAAGTGGTGGTCCATCAAGAAATGGAGGAAAATGTCATACGAATGGACCAGAAGTGGTGGGTACTCAGCAGCCATAGCTAGTGGGGAAGGGGCTGTAAGGAATAAGGGCATGTTAGTAGGATCAGGCTGGCCCCTTAGGAGATGAGGGCCATCTGGGGAATCCACTGGACATGCTGCTTCTGCAGATCATAAAGGAATGACCACAGGTGAGACCCTGAAGCAAGATGGCTGTGCACAGTCAGAGAAATAGAAAGAGCAAAATTGATCTCCTTTAATGCAATCAAAAAAGGAAATGGGCCAAATTTGAGGGGGCACGCCTATAATCCCAGCAACTTGGGAGGCTGAGGCAGGAGGACTGCAAGTTCAAAGCTCACCTCAGCAACTTAGAGAGGCCCTAAGAAACTTAGGGATACCCCCTCTCAAAATAAAAAAGGTTGAGGATGTGGCTCAGTGATTAAGCGCCCCATTTCCTTCTAGGAGCTTG